ATTCTATGGTCAATTGGAGGAGATCATAGAGTTGCATATATATATGATAAATCAGTTGTACTCTTTCGTGGTAAATGGTTCAATGCCTCATTACGTAATGGACGTTTAAAGACTATAAATAATATGATTCTTATCGATACCAGTCATGAATGGTATGTCGGTAAAACATGGTTTGATGATCAACAATACATCTTAGCCACACAAGCTAAACAAGTATTTTATCTCCAAGATCCCACTCAAAACAATAACTGAAAGAGTTGTGGAAGAGGTTCATCATCGAAAACTTTGGAAACATCCAAGTATCGGTGTTGTGAATGAGATAGATGTTGTGAACAACACTCAATCAACTGATTTTACCTTGGTTGTCGACTTAGGCACCTTACCTATGCAGACGACTTTAGGTGAAGTTGGTGAATCAAGTGTGGTTGCTAGGAGGAATGTTGCTCCTAATATAAATGATGACGATTTCATTAACGACGAAAATGACGATGATGATACGTACTCTTCAGATGAAGAAATAAATAATGAAAACTATGACAATGATGATGATGTTGTACATGTATATTGTTCTAGTGATGAATCTGATTGATGGTATGTTATTGTTATTATATGTCGTGATTGCTTATAATATTTGTTAAATTTTGAAATTTTGTTTATTTGTAGTTTTATTATATTTTCTGAATGTTTATAATATTTGTTAAACAGATGGCAGAAGTCGCGATGGGACACGGAGGAGATGGTGGGGATAGACCTCCACACAGGATTGCACGCGGTGTACCATCGGGTTGTCAATCTTGTAAGTTATATGAAATTTTTAATTATTATATATATTAAAGTTTTAAATTTCTAAATTTCCAATTGTATATGTAAATATAGCACAAGCGAAGAATGTGAATGTGAATATGCGTGGCAAAGGGAGAAACTTAAATTTGTACGAGGAGTATGAAAAAACAAGTGTAGGCCTTTGGATCTAAGAATTGATATCTCCGGGCGGACGTATCGATTTATAGGGGACAACGGGTAAATGTTTGTCAGACTGATCTCAAATCTGGTGGGATCAAAGGTACCGTTGCATTATCATACTTGGCGTCGTGTTCCTACCAAGTACAAATAAAGTTACTAGGTCGAAACTTCCACACACTTGGCGTCGTGTTCCTACGAGGAATACAGACGCACGTCGGAAAAAAATAAAGTTACTAGGTCGAAACTTCCACACACAAGTGCTCACGGATGTAGACCCTATGCTCAACGACGTTATTTAGAGGTAATAAAATACATTAGTATTATTTAAAATTTTTATTAACATTTGTACAAATATATTTATTATTTTTTCACTTATTATAGGAACAAATGGGAATCACGCCGCAACATATTGAGGGTTGGAGACAAATGCGCTACAAAGAAGGTTCGGGTTGGTGTACAAGTCGAGCAGAAGAAGATTGGGTAAGTGATAAACGAAATGAATATGTTGTTTAAATATATTATTATTAATTATAGTTTCTTGTTTAAGGAATATTATTATTTTTTGAATGTTTAAGTTTAGTTGTTTGTTTTAATTAACGTATGTTAATTATTTTCTTTATTTTAGGAGAAAATTCAAAATGAATATGAGAAAATGCAAAACGAGGTTGGGGAAGGAGGAGAAGTAAACGAGGAAGAATGTTTAGAACGTGCCCTTGGGACGAGACGTGGACATGCTCGCGGGGTGGGTAGGAGACCAACCGCCAACTTCGGTATAATTCCAAATGAACGGCCTTCCACTTCCAAATCGTCTCAATCTCAATCCCAATTCGATGCATAACAAATGCAAGAATATTTGCAACAATATAATGCATCATTGGCGGCTTGTATTCCGAACTTCCAACCACCACCATTTCCTAACTTTCTATTCAACTATAACACACAAGCAATTAGCTCTCAACAATCTGCCGAAAGGATGGAAGAAGACGGAGAAGGAGAAGAAGAAGAAGAAGAAGAAGAAGAAGAAGAAGAAGAAGGAGAAGAAGGAGAAGAAGAAGAAGGAGAAGACGATTATGATAATGATGATTGATGTTTTTTTAGTATTATGAACAATGTTAGTTACCTACTTATTGTAATATTAAACTTGAATTTGATGTTTTGAATTTGAACAAAAGCTAAAAAAAAACAACCAATAGCTATCCCGACGACTAGTCGTCGCTATAGTCCATAACCATTAACTGATAAAACCCTTTAGCGACGACTAGGCATCGTAATAGCCTCAACTTGTCCCGGCGACTTGTGGTCGCCATAGCTATCCCGAGGATAAATAGTCGCCATAGGATTTTAATAAAACATAATTTTTTCCCTCGAAAATGTCGTTGATGAAATCTGTGCCGACGACATGTCGTCGCAATAGAGCTAGCTATTCCAACGACCTAACAGACCTATGCCGACACGCCTGTGGCGACTTTTTCCCGACGACGACTTGTCGTCTCCATAGGGTCTAAAATCGTCGTTGCACAGGCTCCGATTGTTGTAGTGTAGTATTTGACATGTTATATCTACTAGAAAAAGTTAATATTTTACTTATACATGTCATAATATGTGTTCAGATGGTTATGGTACATGATTACATGTGAAAGTATGAAGACTTGATAAAAAACTAAAGTACGTTGCCAATGGTACCGATTTCGGTTTCTATTCTACTTATAAATAAGCCAAAATCAACTACAAGTTAAATGCAAAAGATAATTCTTACACATATCTAAGCCGTACGCATAAATCTAGTAAAAGTATTATCGCGAATCCACATAAGCAAGCAAACTCATGTCTTTTACCATCGGCATCTACCATCATCCATTGTGGTATACATTTGTCTATATGGTGTTTTATTTTCTGTTGCTATCTATCACCATCTGCTATCAAGTATTACCAATTACATCTTCATATCATCATATACATTAAGGTATAACCTACCAACCACCTAAGTTTTTGTTTTGTCAATATGTTTAAATCAACATTATAAATCTAAATATGATAATCACCATCAATTAACCTCCTTTATTGTCTTTTTCCATACGATGGCCATCATAAAACTTACACAAGTAACACAACCTAACCGTGCTACAACACCTCACTAAATTCTCCCATCTTTGTCATTTGTACACGCCCTATTGCCGTATACGATAAATAATAAAGTACATTGCTTTTATGGATAAAAAATGTAAGGATATTGTCTATATTGGTATAAAGAATATAGTATGTTGCTATTATGGTTAAAAATAACGTATGATGATATTATGTATAAAAAACAATCTATTGCTATTATGGCAAAAAGTAAAATACATTACCATTATGGATAAAAAACTAATGTAAGTTTCTATTATGAAAAAATGATTATGTCTCCGTTATTGGTAAAAATGTATGTACGTTACCCAAGGTTGTAAACGTCGCTAGCCGGTGGTCGGGCGGTCTACTGAGGTTAAGGGACTAATAGGTCTAGGCGGGATAAATCGACGCGTAAGCGGAGACCCTTAATTGTAGCATAATTTATTTTAAAAAAAATAAATATTACCTATATCCTAACAAAATAAATCAATAATCATAAAAGTTTTGTATATTCATTTGTCTAAATATTTAAATCATGGTACATAATACTTTTTAGACTATTTGATCATATTTGTAATAGTTTTAATCTTCAATCATCATAATTTAGTCACCCAATATCATAAATGTGAATCGGATGCATAAAGACATTTAATTATTTTTTGAACTTCGAGTTTTATTTCTGTTTTTTTACAAATTTTGTAGAAATGTTGCGGGATGAAGCACACAATTATGAAAGTTCTTTGTTATCTGTTCAAAACATATATCCAAAGTACCATGACTCAAAAAGATTGAATGAATTAACAATTTTTAGTATGGAAAGTGATTTTGTTACAAAATATGGATTATTGTAAAATAAGAGATGTTCGATTCAAAAAATGCACGAAGACATTGTTTTAGGTGATTTTTGTAGGTTTATATATATATATATATATATATATATATATATATATATATATATATATATATATATATATATATATGTTTTCTCTATTTTACGGTAAATAAAAAAGGGCATAAAATTTTTATCTTGCCCCGGGTAGTAAAAAAGAATGGACCGGCTCTAGTTCAAGTCACGTCGTGGACAAATGAATAGTTTTGGAGTTGGATTTAAAAGATGTGTTTGTGTAAAACCTTCAAAACAAATACTAAAAAAAGTAAAACTAAATAAAAAAACTCTTTTTTTACGATGGGAAATTTGCAGCTAAAAACTCACTAACAGATTCAAATTGCATTCCATCTGAAATAATCAAAACCGACATCTATGGGTATTTAGTAAAATATGTAACACAAACCGGTCTTTGAGAAGTGCATCGGTAGCATTCAAAATTTTCTTTTGGAGAAGTGTGAAGATGTATATCCATTTGAAATCCTTCATAATTATTTGTCTACACCTTATTTTGGTAGATTTGTATTTCGGAATTCTGTGGTAATAGCTTTTCCATATTATTACCACCGACGGAATTAGCAGTTGGAATGTTCCCATTTTTCTAGTAGTGCCGGTGGCCTAAAACCTTGTCATCTTGGTTATATCAATAGTCGCAAAATTACCTTTATCGACTTAGTTAACATTTTAAACTATGTATTTTTGATGTAGCAATGTAAATACATCATAATGATAGGTGTTCTAGATTTTACTGGTTGTAAATTTAAACCCTTCTTGCATTCTATGAGATTTAAGAGTGTAAAGTTCAGCGTCTACAGGTAATATTTTGTTGTCAGTAATTAAAACTTTCAAAATTATAAGCGCTATCATATGAAACCAACAGATCAGATAAATTACACAATGAATAATAAATACCACTTGAAAAATTATTGCACACAAATAATTTTGAATGGAAGCTTTAAATTAAAGAAGCCTATGAATGAAATCAAACGCGCGATTACGCCAACACCAATTGTAAACCTTTTTAGTCATTGAACTCGTTGTAACTTTAGAACTTGGCTTGTAGCTGATCCACCACACTCTTATCCACTTGGAATGCCCTGGCGAGGATATCCCATGGAATTGAAGGATTTGCACCGAAAACAGCATTTCCAATTGTTATTGCACCTGGGTTTTGACTGCTTAATGCAGCAATAACAACCGCATTTCCATTACCCACATTCCGCTGGAAATGAACAAGTCCCACAGGGAACACGAAAACATCACCCTTTTGCAACACCTTGGTGATAAAGCGGTTATCAGGATTAGAAGTGACAAATCCAACTTGTAGGGTCCCTTCAAGAACTGTAAGAATCTCTGTGGCTCTTGGGTGGGTGTGAGGAGGATTAAGTCCCCATGGTGCATAGTCAATCCGAACCATTGAGATGCCTAAAGTGTTTAGCCCTGGTAACTGAGTCGCAAAGACTGGGTCACCTTTGATCCCAATTGGTTTGATGTGTTACCCCTCAGGTGTAGCCCACTGAAGAAGAAATCAGCTGCTTGAACTTGCATTGGGTTCTTGCATGTTACACCATTTACTTTGACTGCACGTTAAAGACAATATTTTTTTGTTAAAAATAAAAGGTAAATGTAATTAAAGGAGCACATCAGATGTGTAACAATGAGTAGACAATACCTGAGCTGTTGGGGTCGGCTACACAAAAATCTTGGAGGGGGCTAGGCTCGTAGGCTAAGGCAAGGTAGTTAAAAGTAAGTGCTACAACACTCAATAGAATTAGTTTGTTCCACATTTCTTTTAATATTAAGAATAACAGCAAAGAAAGATATGAGAATGAGAGCTCTCGGAAATAGAAATAGTGGAGATGGTTTTTGTTGGTGAAAGAATCTGCTTTGTGGTTCCATATATATAGGGCTTATTTGCATGGTTCATGATTTTGTTCTTTACTGTGTCTTTCCGCATCCAAAGAAAAATAATATATCTATTAGAATTGCCGTCTAACACGTAAAAACAGCATTAGGCCCCACTAAAATATGAATAGATGGCTGATCACTTTGGATTATAAGGAATTGGTCAGCCGGCTTTTTAGCTGCTTTTATTCCTTTATGTTGCCAAGAATTGGTCGCATCAGTTCTGAAATATTAAAAAGCTAAATTGCGTACGTACCATGTTCCTTTTAAATGCTAATTTTACAAATTATAATAATATCACTCGACATGAGAGTGATTATCAGCTAAAGCTAAATTGCGTACGTACCATGTTCCTTTTAAGTACCATGTTTCCATTACTTGCGACTTGACGGTTTTTAACACACGAGCACCTTTACAAGTTTCTTAGTGGCCGAATTGCAATCTTCTCAAAATTAATCTCATCTTCAGTCAATATATTATCTGTTAAATAAAACAATATATTATCTTTAGCTGATGTCTTGAAGGATGACATTAAAAGATACCATTTTCTTATAGTCCTGTTGTTGTGTGGTGTCACATTGGTACAAGTACACATGTATCACCTGTGTGGATACACATGTGACATGGTATCTATGGGATGTGTGTCGATGATGTCGAATGGTATCACCTAGAGAATGGTAATTTGGTCATTATATATTAAAACAATATTTATTATCAAGATTTATGGTACTTTTAAACTGATTAGCTTGAACCGTTGTATTGGTTTGAATCGATTTCATTTGTCGTTATTTTGCCAGTGATAGTGCTCACACAACCTATTTCATTTGTTGCAATTCAGGTCATTTTTTACATCATTATTATCATTTTTCGAGCATTAATGTCATTTCTAACGAAACAGTATTTTGTTGTTATTTGGTTACAAATTCTCCAAAAATTTATGGTTGAAAATTTCATCATTTTTTCATACGTAATTCTCAACAGGAAAATTTTATTGCCATTTAAACCGATTTCTGTTAGTGGACTGAAAATAATCAGACGGATATATTTTACCGATGATGGAGGAGCTAAGAGTGGAGGCTAGCTAGAAGGATTTAATGTCACAAATTTGGCATGATTAGGCAAAAAAAAAAAAAAAAAAAAAATCATTATGGAGTATTAAAACAATCAGAATTTCTTGGATCCACATTTGTTCTTTTCTTTGTGGATAGTGCCTTACATCTAGTGCCGGTACTATATGTAATATCTGTAATGTTTCAGTTTATGATTTTGGAATAATTTTAATGCATCGTATTCGAATTGTTAGATATGCCAAGTCTATAGAAAGTAATGAAATGAGGACATATTTTAAACAATGATAAAATATATCCTAATTAATAAGTACATTGAGTTACTCATAGGTCTTAAAATATGACTTTGGATGAAAGCTATCAGTTAAAATGTTCCCTTGGTTGATTTAGCAAAGTACATTGTTATTTTACTCAAAGGTGGGTAAAAAGTATAAATGATTGAATATTAGTATTTTACATATTACATAAATTAGAAAAAGTGATGATTTTACTTAAACATGTCATAATATGTATTTAGTGTTATGATATAAGATTACATGTGAAAGTATGAATACTTGATAAAATCTAAAATATGTTGCCAATGGTAATGATTTCGTCTTCTATTCTACATTATAAAAACCAAAATAAACTACAAGTTAAATGCAAAAGATAATTATTACTCACAAATCTAGTAAAAGTATTAGCATGAATCCAATAAGCAAACAAACTCAGGTCTCCAACCATCTATCGGCGTTTACTGTAATCTATTATCGTATACCTTTGTCTATATGGTCCCTTATTGTACGTTGCCATCT